GGATTGCTAGTCATTCGATAATTTAATTTTATATTTTAGGATATCAGATCAATTCAAAATATGATCCAATTCAACTAGACTATATATATATATATTGGTTCGAATCGATCCGATTAATTTGAATTAATTAAATCTAAATATGAAAATTTTAAAATCGAAAAGATATTTAGAATGAGTTCATCAATTTAGAGACCCTACGAAAGCCGAAGAAAAAGGCCTATAAAGTGATGAAGTCAGCATGGATCGGAATGGAAGCTTCTTTGAAACTATTGACTCACGTGTGATAAAATTTTGCCAACTTGTCCTCCATAAATCATTAAATTAATTTATGACATCCTCCCTTGCCATATTCATTTCCTCAATATTTTATATTCACCCCTACTCTAATCTTTTTTTTATTACCCTAATAATCTCGTAATTATCTTACAAATAAAGGAGCAAAGATTGGTAGTATTTTATCATTTTATATTATATTTCGTTCGATACATTGAATTCAGATACAAATTATAGATTGTAATTGTAATATAATGAATATTTAGGATTTATTTTGGTTTAAATTTGAAATTGATTTTTTTTTTTTTAAACTTTTAGAGTAAATAATATTTTTAATTTGATATTTTATGAAAAAAATAACTTATTTTCATTAAGAATTATATTGGTTGAATAGCATTGTTTCTTATTTAATAATAATGAAAACAAACAAGTACTCCCTCCGTCCCAAATAAGGTGCAACATTTGCTTTTAGCACGGATTTTTAGGTATGTAGTACTTCATCCGTCCACTTACAATATTTACATATTTCTATTTTGGGACGTCCAATTATAAAGTTAACATTTCATTAAATACCTTACTTTTTTCCACAGATACCCTTACTTTACATCACATCATTACTTTTACACAAAAAAATAAGGGCAAAAATGTCATTATATTACTTTTAACTACTCACTATAATTAAAATACTATTATTTCTTAAATACCGCGCCAAAAGTAAATGTAAACTTTGTAAGTTGACGGAGGGAGTATTAAGTAGGATAATTTAGAAATTAGGTGATGTGATGGAGAGAGAAATGTATATATATATATTTTTTGGATGATATGAGATGATAAAGTGTGGGCAGAGATTAAATATAATTAATTATTTCCTATTTTAGAAATATTACAGGTGTTTAGAACATACCAAAAAGAAAATGTTGCATAGTGTTTGGGACGGAGGGAGTACATTTTTATTATTCTCCATACATTTATTTTTTATTTTTATATACAGTTAATAATAAAAATGTCTTATTTTATTTCATAAAAATTACATTAAATTACTATTATACAATCTCAAACTACCAATCCAACCTAGTAGCCGAATTGTATGTAGCAGATAAAAATCTAAAGATGTCGAGAGTTTAATGCCATTATTTCACAAATTTATAATTAAGATAAACTAATTTTATTAAAGACTCGAATTTTAAATATAGATACAAATATTTGTTTATTGAAAAAATAGATAAAAATAAAAAAATTTCGAGTGAATTTTACATTATATATGATGTTATATATTATATAATTAATTAAATTGATTTATATTTGTTAGGTATATTAATAAAATGTACCAAATATATAAATGTACCAAATAAAATTGGAAATACTAAAATGAAAAATATATCATTTTATTATAAAAGTTAAAGCTAATGTTTCCCATTTTTCTTTATATAAATAAAATGAAAGTGAAAATAAAAAATATGTCGATTCCATATATAATTAAAAAGATAGATGTTTGAATTTAATATATGTATATATATATATATATATATTGTTATAAGCACTTCTAGAAGTGTTTTAAGTAGTAAGTTCTTGTTTTCTTGTAATTTTAAATTGATATTAATATATATATTTTTTTTACGTATCTTTTAATAAAAATATATTATTTTTTAATAAAATATTATTTAAATAAATATTTTATTTAACATATTTGAAAATATTACAATTTGTATTAACTAAATATTCACTTGTGTATAGTTTGTTACGCATATGTATTATATTGTATCTTTATCTATATAAAATAGTCTAGAGCATATTAATTTATCAACTACTTGGCTATCATTTAGAAATAGACTTTTTTGAGTTTGAAATTCTTGAAAAATAAAAAGAAAAAAGCATTTAATATAATATTTTGTAAAAATAATAAATATTTAATTTAATATTTGTTAAAATTTTATATTAACAAATAATACTCATTTCCTATTCATAACAATTGACATTTTTTTTTTTGTTTCGTAATAATTGATATCTTTTTATTTATGATAAAATTTACTAAATCAAATTATTATTAACAATCTGATCAAAAAATGTTGAAAAATAGATTTGTTTGGTCGAAATCTGAGATACGACGAATTCCAAAAATACAAAATCAGATATATGCGAAATCAAATTCGAGTCTCGCGTAGCACGCGTTTTCTTTGAAGCGAATTCGACCCTCCACTGATCGCCTCCCAGGATAGAACGAGAAATTTTCAGAATGAACTTTTGGAATTGATATTTCGTCTTCCATCGGAAAAGGGGGAGGAAAATATAATATATATTATAATTTTCAACTTATTTTGTATTTAATCACGTTTAAAGAAAAAAACTGTCAACTTTCTTGCAACAAACTATTTATTTATTTGATTATTTATTTATTTATTTATTTTTCAAATAAAATAAATTAATCAAATAAAATATGAGACAAATAATTTATTATCTTTTCATCTATTTAATTAAATACCCAACACAAAAAAAATATATATATACTTTACAATTATAACACAATTTAATTAAGTGTATAATATATAATATTATATATTATATAGGATTCATTCAAAACTTTTTTATTTATATATATATATATTTAAAAAACAAATTATCCACATTTAAAACTCCAAATCTTTTATAAAATTAATTTATTTTAGTTATAAATAAATACAAAATATTTATTTGTATTATAAAAAATTTATTATCTACAAAATGTCCATATTGCATATATTTTTTTATTACAATATAATTTTTAAAATATTTTAATATATATTCTATTTTTTAAATCATATGTATTAAATTTATTTTAAAACTATCAATATTATTAATTACATTAAAACAAATAATAAATGCTATCCTAACTTATTATTATTATGAATTATATTAAATATTATTCTCTTAAATATAGTATATATATAAAGAAATCGTTATCTCAATTCAAGTAAGACCATCTCCAACCCAAATGCAGTGGGTGCAGTGGGTTGGCGGAAAATAGAGGGGTTGGGGCTCCAATCCAACCCCATTTTCTCCCTCATTTTTGGGAATAACTATATTATATAGGACTCACTCATTTTATATTCACGACCCACCCGAAACATATTATTTAGACCCGAACCCGCCCCATTAAGAGTGGGTCTGGGGCGGATCCGGGGCTAACCCGCCCCATTTGACAACCCTAAGTGTTACTTCAGTTTTGGAGTAACACCGTATCTCTACTCCATTTTTGGAGTAGAGTATTTTGTGTATTTTTGATAATTTTTGGATGTTTTTGTGTAATTTTATTTTTTAAAAAATAATACATAATTTTATTTTTTGGAAATTAATATAAAATTTTATTTTTTTAAAAAATAATATATAATTTTAAAAGTGATATAATTTTATTTTTTAAAAAATGATACATAATTTTATTTTTGTAAAAAATAATATATAATTTATTTTTTAAAAAGTGATATATAATTTTATAAATAAAATATGAATTATATAGTTTTAGTGATAATGTAAAAATAAATTAAAGTTAGGGTATAATTTATAAATATGAAAAGTTATATAAAATAATATAAAAGAAGAATATAAAGATAATATATTTTTTAGAGTAAAAATTGAAATTTATAGTTGGTGTAAAATGACCGTAGACCAATTGCATTTTTACCGTAGCTGCTGCAAAAATAAAATAATGAATTGGAGAAGGCCTAACTAATAAAATTTAATATAATTATATATATATACATATAAAAGAAAGATTTGAATTTATTATTATTATTATTATTATTATTATTATTATTTTTAGTACAAAGTTGAAAGGAAATTCATACACTATATTTCCTTTCATTATTATTATTATTATTATTATTATCGATTTTTTAAAGTAAATATAATTATCGAAAAATATAATATAACTTACATATCTTATAAAAGATTATTATTATTATTATTATTATTATTTACTTTATAAAAGATTATTTAAATGTATTTAGTCTGTGATTTTTTATTTTTTATTTATTAAAAATATACATATTTATGTTAAAAGTCTTAAACAAAATATATACATATATATTTGTGTGGTCATTGTTTCAATTTCGGTTGGTATTATATAAGTTTTATTTTTTAAAATATTATATCATATTAAATTTGGTTAAAATTCATTTAAATGGTATTATATAAATTTTATTTTTCAAAATATTATATCATATTAAATTTGGTTAAAATTCATTTAAAATTTTTTACTTTTATTTATTTTTTTAATAAGCAAATATATTTTTATATATTTACAATGGTTTGTTTATTTATAAAATAAGTTCATATGAATTAAAAATAACTATTTTTTTTTATTTATATTATATAAAATGATTTTGTATGAAATAATATTAATATTTAATATGTTTTTTTTATTCACTCACATTGCATATATATTTATATTTTAGTTGTTTAATTACAAATAATCATTTTATTAAATAATTTATTTTTTTTACAAATACTCAAATTCTATTATAAATAATTATTTTTACATAAAAAAAAGTTAAATTATTTTTATATTACATTTAATTATTTATTACATTTAAAAATATTATTATTTTTTTAATGAATAGATATGCACCCAAGTCTTCTTCTTTTCCACATGATTTCAGGACCCCGACTCCCGGCCTTTCCTTTGTTTATTCACAACTATGTATATATATATACACATTACTCTTGCAAATTTTTTTTCTTTCTTCATCGATGTATTCCTTTTCCTAAATATTTACTTCAGAAAATGGATTCCACTTCCTCAGCTTTAAACAATTCCATGGCCTCTGACTTTTCCGACAACCAATCCTTCGATTCGCCGCCGCCGCCGCCGCCGCCGCTGTGGAGGTGGCCGCTGGAGCCGCCGATGTTCTCCAATTCGCTGCCGTTCAACGAGAACGACTCTCAGGAAATGTTGCTGCTCGGCGTGCTGGCGGAGGCGGCGCAGGAAAATTCGAATTCGGAATCGAATTCGTCGGACCGCCGGAGGGACGGCGACGAGGCGGACTCCGCCGCCGCGAAGGCCGCCGGCGCCGGCGAGGACAAGGCGTTCCGCGGCGTGAGGAAGCGGCCGTGGGGGAAGTTCGCGGCGGAGATCCGGGACTCGACGAGGAACGGAGTCCGGGTGTGGCTGGGGACGTTCGAGACGGCGGAGGCGGCGGCGATGGCGTACGACCAGGCGGCGTATTCGATGCGCGGCCCGTCGGCGATTCTGAATTTCCCGGTGGAGAGGGTCCGGGAGTCGCTGAGGGAGATGAGGGGTTTGATTGATGAGGCGGCGGCGGGGTGCTCGCCGGTGATGGCGCTGAAGAGGAAGCACTCCATGAGGCGGCGGAGGAGCGGCGGCGCCGCCGTGAGGAAGAAATTGAAGGTGGAGAATGTGGTGGTGTTTGAGGATTTGGGAGCTGATTATTTGGAAGAGCTTCTCAGCGTGTACACTACTAATGCTCTGCAATGATTCTTGGCGAGTCCCGGGTCCTCGAGGCCAGATAGATCTTGGCCGTTCATTTCTGAATCGACGGTGTACATTTATTTAATCGGGGTGTTTTTTAATTTTTCCAAAGCAAGGCCAAATACGCCTTCAATTCTTTGTTTTCTAGTCTGTTTCTTTTCTTTTCTATTTTTTTTTTTGTTTATTATTATTTTTTGTTTTCTTATTTGATTTATAAACTATTTCTTAGGGTTTTTGTTGGTGTATAGATTATAGATTTTTAATTTGGCTTCATATTATCAATGTAAGATTTTACTGTGCTGTAAATATTAATAAAACCAACAGTAGTAAAATTTCTAATATTGTGATTTGTGTAGTTTTTACCATAGATTTTTACTATTTTATTTTATTTTTTTTCAAAAATATCACATCAATCTCTGTTTATATCAGATCAAACAACTATTCAAATTCAATTTTCTATTATTCAAATATCCAAACCCAAACCTACGGTTTGGTTATATGAATATTAATTTTAATTTATAAAAATATGTTTCTCAAAAAATCACAAACATATATATTTTAAATTTATTTAAATTAAAAATATCACTATATCATAATTTAATATTCTTGTAACAATCATCTCACTCATATCGTTTTAAAATTAAAAGTTATTTTAAATTTCAAACTAATCAAAAATAAATCTCAATATAATTTATTATTGTAACAAAATAAAATAAAAATTCCAAATAAAAAACAATAATAAAATTAAATCTAAATCAACCTATTCAAAAAATCCACACAATCATTTAAAAATAGTTGCGAATTTGTACCCAAGATCGATATGTCTTTTGAACAATCTTTGTATACAAAATACAATATAATTAACATAATCGAATTCGAATAAAAGTCAAGTAATAATAAACCGAATCAAAATCAAAATTATATAATCAGAGGCAAGAATCTCAACATTCTGGAAACGAACGGAGCTCGAGAGTAATCTTCACTTGGGCGTTGAACATTGATGTAATCTCTAACGTCGAACATTTTGTCATCTTCTCTTCCTAAACACCAGTTTGGTGCAGACAACGATGTACAATGACAAATGGATTCTCCAGGCATCTCGATCTGGCAGCCCTGAACAGCTCTGGGCAAGGTCGATCTCCTCCAAACAAAGAACAACACTTCTGATCATCATCCAACAAGTCCGACGCTTCTCCCAAACAGAACCAACAATGTCTTCCTTTCTTTTTTTCAGATTGGACAAATTATTTTTCGTGGAACTTGGAAGGGGTGTTTAGTTTGGCTCAGGCCATAGTGACTCGGCCTATGATAATCACACCTTAAGGTGGAGGTCGGAGCTTAAAATCGAAGTCTCGACACCTACCAAAATCGGTACAAAGAAATGGTTCTACGAATTGTCACCGAAAACTCTTAAAACTCACCGGTTATCTTTCCCCCTCTCGGTGTCTCTTCCTTCTTCCTCTCTCGCTTTTGGATAGACACTCTTTCAAAACCTTTCTAATTTGGCATTTTATCCTCTCCTCAAACCCCTCTCTTTCTCTACAAGAGTAATTTTCCAATTAACTAACACATCAATTTAATCTAACTCTTTAAAACTAAGTAACCCCAACAAAAGTTAGAATTTTTACTAAGGATGAAATTGATTGGACTTCAGATTGAATGTTTTGGTTTAGGTTTAAAGGATTGGGCCAACTCTGGTGGGTCAGGCTAAGGAGTGAGATAACTTTTATTTTATCGAGGGAATTGTTGGGTTAGGCCGCAAAAGACCAAAACTTCAATGTACTCTACATACTTTGGCCGTGATTTAATCAAACCCAAAATACGTATTTACATACATATATACTTATCTGCACCAATGAGTTTCATCATCGCCTTTTGTACCTCGCTGCATCCGCAAACAAATATGCAAACTAAACATATCACAAGTAAAACACACAAGTTCTAACATGCATTTAGATTGATTACATAACAACCTAGCACGCAATACACACATACTACAAAATAGACACACAAACAAGTTTACGCAGATTCAACATAATGAACTTACCGATCTAAGCGAGCACACAAACTACTACACACTTTAAAAACACATGCATATTCACAAAGGAAAATGATCACATGTTGAATACAAAACTTAGAATCACATAACAGAAGCTTCCTTTGATTTGACGTCAACTAGAGAAAACTTGGCTCTAGACACTCAAAATATCTTAAGCACTAAACTTTGCAGCTCGAGCACACACTTCTACAGACTCTGTATAAAGTCCGACGGCCTAAGCACCCAGATTGATCGGCCACTACCACTAAGATCTCTAGAGACACAAAAACCTATGACATCCTACCCGAATACGAAGCAACCTGAGAGGAACACAAAGCACAAAGCACTTATTTTGGCCGAACACTACTACAATGGATACCCGAAAATACAATTACAAAGCATCCACAAAGGAACACAAAAAAATACTCCCTCCGTCCCACGTACCGTGTCTGCTACACTGTAGACACGGTATTTTAGGAGGGGTGTAATTAGTAGATAATTAAGAATGTATTAGTGAAAATAATTATCCTATAATATAAATAATTATAAATTAAGATTAAGATAACTAATTAGTTTAATTAAAATTAAAAAAAATAAAATTAAAGTGTGTAATCATTTTCCAAAAAAGAAAAGTGACATGGAATGTGGGACGAACATAAACGGCAACATGGACATGGTATGTGGGACAGATGAGTAATACATATAGATATGGTCACACATAGCCAACAATTACAAATATAACAGTCACACAGAAAATAATCACAAAGATTACATTCACAAAGACCACAAACAATCAATTCCGGACAAACATGCTTTAATCACTCAAAAATAACTAGTCCACAATGCATGCAATCCAAATAATACATATAATCACAAAAAAAAAAAAAATTCATGACAATTTGTATCACATAGAACACTCCACGATTACATCACAAAAAAAATCCACATAATCAGATCATATCAAATCAATTCATATTATGCTAACTAAACAATAAAATTTATCCCCAAAGATCAATTAAGGAACACATGCAATTAATCACGTAAAAACAAAACAACATGCATAAATGTATTTCTAAGCTTTTACAATTAGTTTTATTTTAACAACACATGCTTATTTCCATCAACTAATTTTCATAAGAAACATGCTATTTGATTTTTATACTTGGTATTTTAATCATTCACAAAAATTGATACAGAAAAAACTAAACCAATCATGTAGAATATAAAATCAAGAATTTAACATATGCATTTAAATTATTTCACAGAAAAATCACATAATGCAACAACACTAATTTCATTATTGATTATCCTCCAACTATACATTCTTTTTGCCATTTTCAACTAACACGAAATATCAACATGCATCCAATAATTGATTATAGCTACTCACATTTACAAGACTAACATAAATATAACCAAGAAATGCACAAGTAAATAGCCAAGGAATAAAAAATAATTTCCAAGAAATTCACCAAAAATATCAAAGAAAAAACAACATATTCCAAGATCATTCTACTTATCACCAAAAAATACATAGCCAATTAAACATCAAGAAGTTTCAACACATTATCATCCATATTTTCACTAAAAAATAATAAATCGAAAAAAGTAAAGGAAAGAGAGTTAAGCCTTTTACCACATATTTGAGTCCTATCAAATCGAACCAAATCTTTCAATTTTACAATCGGCTGCTGGACTCTGATACCACGGTTGTGAATTTACATCCCGGATCAATGGACTTTTCGAACAAACTTCGTACTTAATGAGAGAAAGAAAATTTGAATAAAATTCAAATTACTAATAAATTGAATTGAAATTAAAATTATATATATCAAAGGCATGAATCTCAGAATTCTGAACATGTAACAAGAAATACAAACAATCATAGCACTAAAGTACTCTTCCCTTGTGTTTGGTTTGACTCGATTGTGTGAATACACTTCCAATTTCATTATGTTCGTGTCTGATTTCTTGGGCGCCGATCGACGACGGATTTCAGCGATGATGCAATCTCTAGCGTCGAACCATTTTCCGTCTTCTGTTCCTAAATAACTTTGGTTTGGCGCGGCTACTCAACAATTCTTCTCCAGGAAATTGAATAGGCAACAGACAGTGATGGATGGATTCTCCGGATATCTCCGAAAACCATGAACATCTCCTGGCAAGGTTGATCTCCTCCAAACAAAAACAATACCTTCGATCAACATCTAGCAACTCCGACGCTGCGCCTAAATAGATACGACGATGCCTTTCTTTCTTCTTCTCAGATCGGACAATTTATTTTCTGGTGGAACTTGGTAGGGATGTTGATTTTGACTCAGGTCATGGTGAATTGTCCCATATTAACCACGCCTCAAGCTGAAGGTCTCTACTTTACTCTAAGTCTTGATAACCACCATAATTGGCACAAAAGAAAAAGGTTCGAATCCTCACCGGAATATCTCGAAACTCACCGGAATTACTCGCAGGTTATCATTGCCCATCTCGGTCTCTCTTCCCTTTCCCTTTCTCACTCTCGGATAGAAACTCTCTCGAAACCTCTGATTTGGCTTTTTATTATCTCCCCAAATCCATCTCGAGTAACTCCCAATTCACTCACACACCAATCTAACCTAAATCTCTAAAACTAAAGGAAAGGTATGTTTTTTTTTTTTATGGGTTGATAAAAATTTAATTTGAGTTTGATATTAAAATAGTGTAAAATTAGATGTTTTGGGATTGAAAAAAATGTATTTTTTTTGAAAAATACATAATAGAATTCAAACAGTAAAAACTTGAAATTTGATGTGTAAAAAAGTAAACCTTTTGAAGGGATGACACATCAATCTAACCTAACTAGCTAAAACTAAATAAACTCCCCACAAACCTCACGGTTAGAAGTTTTGGGCTAGATATGAAATGGATTGGACTTACAACTAAAGGGTTTGGGTTTAAGTTAAACGTTTTGACCAAGTCCAGTGGGTCGGGCTAAGGAATGGGTCAATATTTCATATTGGTTGAGTTATGACCAATATCTCAACATAGATAATCCAAGTTAAATATCTCTGTCCACTAACTGTCTACATATTTTCTTTAATTTATATACTTCTATATTTTACTTATTTACATTAAATATCTCTGTCCACTAACTGTCTACATATTTTCTTTAATTTATATACTTCTATATTTTACTTATTTACATATATGTCACTAAAATATACAACTCAATCTATCCAAAATTTTCTTTTACGTCGTTAACTTATTATGTACTTCCTCAATTCCACTTAATTTGTTCCATATTTTTATTTTCATCTGTTCCATGTAATTTATTATTTCTTTTACTTTTAAAATTATAATTATATACTTTAATCACATTTTAAAATTCATAATTTATAATTTTTTATTTTAATCAAACTATTTAATCATTTTAGTCTTAATTTATAATTAATTTTATTAAATTATAATAAACTTCTTAATTACTTACCAATTATACAATACCTAAAACTCCGTTCTTAAACTAAATGGGACAATTTAGCTGAAATGGAGGGAATATTTTTTTAAAATATCATTACTTTATTATGTTACAATGAGTCAATATAATACGATATTTATTAAAATCCTTGTACAACTCATATGAGCATTATTTTCATGGACAAACCTAGTAGAACTTAATGGAATGTATACAAAAAGGATACAAATACCAATTAAAACAAGTGATTGAAAGTAAAAAAGAGGGGGGGGGGGTGGGGGTTTGTGGAACTAAACTTCACAGCCAACAGTTTGATCAACTGTAAAATCATGATAATAACAAAAAAAAAAAATGTGACTTTTAAAATCTTGACACAAACATACCAAATTTTTTTTCTCTCTCAATATGTAAGGGAGAATCTTTCCATCACTCAGAAACACATAAAGGAACACTCATTAGAGTACATAACCAAAACATCACCGCAAACGGTAAAAAATCTTACAAACTCAAGGGTGTGTTTCTCAGGGTTTGAATTTTGGTTGAGATTTGAATAGTAAAAATTTTGAATTTGAATAGTTGTATGATGTGATATAAACATGTGTTGTTTATGTGATGTTTTGAATGTAAAATTGATTTTTAATATAATATAAAAAATGAAAAATAGGTATTTGATTTGATATTTTTTTGGGAAAAAAATGGGATAAATAGTGTATTTGGAGGAGAATCCCCCAAACAAACACACCAGTACTATGAAATTACCATGATAATTTAGAGATTATTCCAAATCCCAATCATTTGCAATAATTTCCAATGTAGCCTTCGAATCTTCATCCTCTTCATCTAAGATCCCTCTATAATCAGTTCATCTTTTGGAACCTACTTCTACTAATATTCTTTGAGATTCTTGAAGGTGCTATTGATGTTTTGTTTGAAAAAAAAGTTCTTGATAGTTGCCTCTTGGACCTCCATTTCTTACATATGTTTATTTTGTGTCATAAGTTCATTTTTGTCAACTCTACATGTCGGGTAATTCCAACTATAGGATTCTTGATGTAAAGCTTCTTGTTGTAAGCTTCTCTCTTGGCATTGATGTTGTCTTCATTGTTTTTGAGATTGTAACCAAGGCTTATGATAATTTTGACTTTGATTCACTTTCCAACTTTTGTCTTTGGGAATTTTTTTTTCTTTTTTTGTGTTTCCGAGTAGGACATGCTGTGATGATTATCCGATTCACCAGGGCCGTCTCAGATATTTTCAAGGCCCTGAGAAAAAAAATAAATAATAGGTCCTATAAACAAAAAATATTTTTTTCCGTTGGTATGTAGTAGATTGTCGGATCAAATTTGCCATACATATCTTGACTATTATAAAATTTCACAATATTTTGACTATTAAAACCAATAACTCAATAATTAATAACTACATATTCTAAAGGCGAAGAATATATGATTAATTTTTAAAAAAAATCTGAATAGAATTTATTATAATTATAATTGGATTTGTGATTAATTGTAGAAAAATTCTAGTTAGAGTTCATTAGAATTAGAATGAGATAATTGTAGAGAAAAATATGAGATAAACTTTAAAATATATAATAATAATGGGCTTTAAAAATATTTACGAATTCTAAAGGCAAGGAAAATAGAATTAATTTAAATTTTTTTTTGTTCTAATTTAATTTTAGAATGAAAGTTAAAATGGGTAATTGTTGAGAAAATAAGCAATAAAATCCAAATTAAATTGTAATAGATCTAATAATAATAAAATAAATTAAAAAAATATGGGTCCTTTTGAAGTAGAGGCCCTGAGCAAGTTGCTCCTGCTAAGATCCGACTCTGCGATCCACCGATGTTACACACCATATTTCACCACCCTTAGTGACCCTAACCTATACCGAAGTGTTTTTCGGAGATAAGAGTGTCTAATCAAGTGCTCTTATTAAGAGGTTTCCCTCGCGACCAAGCCTTTAAAAGGTGATTCTTTGAGATTCCTCATTTGAATACCTATCCTCTTAGCAGGATACGATATCATTGGCTTGCGCAGCTACACCCCAACGGTATTATTGAGATTGAAAATGGATCAACATCGACTTTAACTTTATGTTGGACTCTATTTCAAAAAACAACACGGTTATCTACTTGATGTCCAAAAATTGTATGTCATTTACAATAAAATTTTTCTTTTTATTTCTCATCTCTAACAATTTTTTGGTCTTCCTTTAGCCAAATGTAGTTGTCATTCAAAAAAAAAATATTCAAAGATTTAACTGATCTTAATAATATCAACTGAATATTATATTTTTCAGATTGACTTGTTTCTTCTATGTAAACTTTAGAGTAGAGCATTTTTAGATCTTTCTTATGTGATCATGGTCACATATAGTTTTCAACATTTTCACTAATTTCATCCTCGTTCTCCTCTTGAATAAAGATCACATTAGTAGGTGTACGAAACTAGTCCTCGGACGGCCTGATGTTTATCAACTTCTTAATAAATTTTCTATAATATCTAACTTTATTTTTTATCTACCAAATTTTTTACTTTCTCCATTCCATAAGAAGGGTATCATTTTCTATTTATATCTGTCTCAAAACAAGAATGTGATTTCTTAATTTAGTAATTATACTACCTACTTGACATAATAATATATTTATAATATATAATATCCATATGTTATCACTTTTATATTACACAATATTAATAGATATAGTTTTGATTTTTTTAATATAAACTAATATAAATTAAAAAATTACATGACCAGCATTTTACTTTGACTAAAATCCTAACTTATACTATCATTTATTACGGTCATGTTACCAATCAATTTAGGTTTATGATTTGTTCGTCTAGTAAAATAATTTGAAGATATATTTTTTTTATGTGAAGTATAGAAAATTATGTTAATAATATAAAAATAATAAATATGAGTAATATATTAATTTTTTTAAGAACTTATTTATGAAAAAATATATTTTTTAATAAATAACATACCCGTAAAACCCAGGTTTTTTTTGTAGGTACTTATTCTCTAGTTCTTCCAAATACTTAGTCAAATCTTGATTAGATCTTCAAATTTTGTTACAACTAGCTATTAAGATTGTGGTGCCACAACATAATTCAGCATATAATGCAAAATAACACACCCCTCCTGTAGTCATAATAAACTGCAACTCAGAGAACATACAAACCACAAATTAGTCTATAGATATATGATTGTGTGTGCATGCAATTAGGCGCCGCACTCAAATTCAAATTCAAATTCAAATGGATGCGACTATCTGCTGAATGTTCAGCGGGTAGCAATCGGATTGGGTGCCCGAATGTGCCCGACTCGCCAACATCTGATTGACCACTTGGGTGGGATGGAATGCATCCCAGAAGACGTACTCTTGTCTGTTGCTGCACGGCACCAACATCGGCAGGCATGTTATCTGGCCCCGGTTCTTCCCCAATCCACAACACCCTCTATCTCTCACTTTCAGTCCTGCGTATTGTTAGAAATTTTGGGGGAAAATAATAAAATTGTATTGTTGATCATCAAAATAAAAGGGCTTATATATATATATATATGCAATATAAAATGGACTCAATAAACTCAAATATAAGTAATCTAACCTATGGATAAGACCAAATCTAAATATAAATTTACTAAATCTAAAATCGAATCTAAAATATCTCAACATATATATATAATTAATTAATATATATGTGTATATAATCGACAACACTACTCACCGTTGGTGCTACCATTGTTGAGTATGTCCATGAATGCTCCATATATATTGCCATAGGCAAAGATAGATCCATTATTATTGTTGTTGTTGAGTTTGTCGACCAGTGATTTCAGGTCATGGTTGAACATGGCCACAGCATTGTTGGTGGAGACCACACACTCGCCTTGCACCTCATTGCGCGCAAGCTGATTCGGGATGCAACCCAACGGCCCGATCCCTCCTAAAACGAACTTTTTAAGCCCTAAACTCTCTAATCTCTACACAAATCGATCAAATTAATTTTATTAATTAATGTCATAATATATCAGTAGTGTATCACTATATATCAATCATGCATCTACAAAATACTTGAAATTAAGCTACAAAAAAATGATTCATAGCAAAAATGTTTTCCTGATGAAACTAATTTTGTCGCCTATATAGCGTTAGTAAAAGTCTTTGACGGAAAATATGATTTTCGTAACGAAAAATACATATTTTGCAGTGAAAGTTAAGAAAAAAGATATAACTACAAAAATATGATTTAGTAGCTAAAGCTTTTTTTGTTATAAAAATAAAATTCATAACAAAAGAATTTTAGTAACAAAATATATACGATTTTTTTAGCCAAATGGTTTTAGCTACAAAGTACTATAATTTTGTAGCTAAAATCCTTTTGCTCTGAAGATAGAACTTTCTAGCAAAATAATGTTAGCGACAAAATTAATTTTGTAGTACTTAATTTATTTTTAGTGATAAAAATAATTTTTGTTACTAAATTACACGTTTTAACTATAAAAATATTTCGTAGTTAAAAATATTGTAGCTAATTAGATACTTTTTTTTTGTAGTGGGATCACCAGAATTTGGGTTGCGTATCGATTGATGAGAAGACTTGCGTAGTCTTGAGGAGTGTAGAGATAGCTGGATGTGTAGTATGAAGGTTGGAGGTAATTGTTGATGTAGTCGTTACTGCCGAGTGACATTACGACTAGCGCCTTGCTTAAATAACTCTTTAGTTGCTCCTCGTCTCCTCTCATTTCGACCCTCAGCTCATTTAGTGTGCTCTCAAAGTTGTCTACTTGTTGCGACAAGCTGAACCTTTCACCCTATATATAGTAGTATATATATATATATATATATATTGTCATAGTGAAATACAGTGAAATTCAACTAGGGTGCGTTTGAATAACTTTTAGGCATGAGCTGATTCAATTAGCTAGTTTAATTACATGATTCAATTAACGGTTTTTATTAAAGTGTTTGGTAAAACAACTATTTGACATTAGTCGTTTATATGTAAAATGACAATTAAAGATATATATATATATGATATTTCTTAAAATATTTATTTTATTCATTGTAGTTTAAAATTTTTGAATTTTTTTTTATTAATTATTGCAAATTATAAAAATATTATAAATATTTATTTTTATTTTTTAGATTTGAGGAAAATATTTTTATTAAAAATAATAATAAATTTTTATTTAAATTGTATAAAATATAAGAGAATAAATCTTTAGTATATATTTTTGTTATGTTACTTATTTTTTATTAATATATTCTATTTTATTTATTTTTAATGTAAAATTTATATAATAAGAATATATAAAAATAAATTAATAATATTTGTCTTTTCTATTTGATTTAATTTTAATAAATTTATATATTTTACAAAATAAAATAATTTATATGTAATAATTAGTAATATTAATTATTTTAATCTACAAAATAAAATTATAATTTAGTATATAAAACATAGTATTAAATAAATTAATAAATACTACAATAAAAATATACTTATTATATGTATGAAATAAATAAATTTTTTTTAGGGGTAAATAAGAATAAGCATAATTAAAGTGAAAAAGCTTTTCCAAAACACTGAGTATATTAGTTTTTTTATAAATTAAATTTTTTTGTCCAAAAAACTATTCCAAAAAGCTAATTTACCAATATCTTAGTTTTTTGACCGGTTAAACAATTTTAATACGTAAAAATTCTTTAAAAAGTTCTTTTAGAAACACCCCCTAATACTACAAGAAAAAATCATTTTTGTAACAAAACTTTTTTGTCTCTAATCTATTTTTTCCGTTACTAATGACATTAGAGACAAAATATGAATAAAATTATGTTAGCTACGTGAACTTTATGGACGAAATTCCGTTGCAAATATATTATTTTTTTGTAGCGTAACTTAATTAATGTTGCAATGAAATTGAACACAACAGACATGAGTCTTTCCTGTCTCTTCAAGAATCCCTCCTGCAGCTGAAGCATAATTCACTCCTCTAAGAATGCTTTTTCCAGTCGAAAAAGGGCTCGCATAGGCTGGCAGAAGAGGAATTCCCAGCAGGTCTCCTACATATATATATGTATATATATCACAACCAATTATCAGTGACGATGGATGGAGCTATAGAGAGATATATGGATCCCACCGAGGTAATCGACTACAGTTTTTCCATTACAAAATCTGCCAGAAGGGCCAGCAAAGAAATCGATGCCATAAGGTAGAAAGTCGGCCCTGGCCGTCGAGCTCAAGTAGTTGTTGTTTCCTGGATCCATCAGCGAATCCCCAAACACAAACATGGCGCTCAACTCTGCTGCTGCATCGACACTGCTCAATATTGTTGCTAGCAGGAAACCGGCGGTCCATCCATGGATCTCCATATTAATTGTAGACTATTGTGTCTGTGATTGCACAGCTTCTATATATTCATCCTCTGTATATATATATCCCTAGCTTTCTTGCTTTCACTTTTCTCCTTGAAATGCTGCCTACTTCACTCCTTTTTTCGACACGAGCTTGTTGCTACACCTTAACAGATGCTTCCATTTGGCCTTTTTTCTTTGTCATTGAACTAACTAATACTATTATTTTGGGGCTTTAGTAAAGATTTAGATGAAATTTTAATCATGATAAGAAATTTTGAGAAGAAATATATTGATCATAAATATTACACATTCAATTATCATAATTTACGATTATCAGTAAAAATATATGATCAAGAAACCGAAACAGGTAGAAAAAAATAAAAAGAAAAAACTAATAGAGTCAAGGAAATCATTTTACCATAGAACACAACTTTACTGGCTCCGTATTATTACTAAAACCCCGTAAGAATGGTTTTGTGGTGTGAGAAGTGAACTTGTGACTATGAAATAATTTTTTCATGAATTGCCACTTGTTAAAATTCTCTTGTCCGATTAATCATTTATTCTTATTCGATCCATTTAGATAGTTGCATTTTTTTTTTTTTACCTTTCTCAACTGAATTCTCTATTTTATCAAATCATTTTTCCTCAATTCATTGTCTGCAATTTCATTCTCTACTGTTATTTCATTCTCTACTGTTATTTCTCTCAATTTTATTCTCTGTACCAACTCGTCCCTAAATTCATATAGCATGATTTGAGTGGTATTTTTTTTTTTTTTTTACTTCTTTTGCACTTTTTTAATATATATTTCTTTCTTCTTTTCTTTTTATTTCTTTCTACTAGAACTACTTATTTGACTCAACATTCTCAATAATTTTAAATTCAAGACTTTCGCCTAATAGTTTCTATTTTTTATTACTTTTATATTTATATTTATACATATTTATTTTATAGATTTATATATGTATATTATTTTTTATGTGTTTATAGATATGATTTTTTATTTTTTATTTTTTTAATTAATAGTTTAAAAATTATCTTATTTATCAATTAAAATTAAATTGCATAAAATTTTAAAAATGTATTTAATAAATGTATGAAATTTATAATTTTAATATTTAAATTAAAATTCTAAATTAACTTTTTAATAATTAAAATAATAAATTATATTAAAATTAGTAATAATTTTATATAACTTGTAATATTTTATTAGATTTATTTTTTTATATATTTTATTTTAAAAAACTAGATTAATATTGATAAGTGAATATGAGAATATGAATTGGGAGTATGAAAAACATAAATTATATTTATTTCTTTGAAATATTTTTATTATTAATTCTGAAAAATATATATTTAAATTTAATATTGAAAATTTCCAAATTTAGTATTATAAAATTTACTTCAATTATCATACACTATTTTTAATATATATAAATATTTAAAATATATCCCTCTTTTTTATAGTGATAGAAGATATATACTTATAAATAAAAAATAAAAAATAAATTTAATAAATTTATTATAAGATTTATAGAATTATGTAATTGTAGCTAGAAAAGTATATTTCACACGTTCTAAAAATTTGTAATTTTTGTACCCATAGCATGCATGTGGCCTTAAGGGCCTTATTTAGGCAATTTTTAGTTGTTTTATGTATTTTTATTATAGAACATTCTAAAAAATAGATAGTTACGTTATAATTAGTTATTAGTAGTAATTTTAGAGATATTTATTTATAGGTGATTGTCAAGCTTTTAGAAGTCTTCTTTCCCTATAAATATTTACTTTCATTGTACATTTAAAAAATAACTATACACACAACCATCATTTTATACACCCCATTTTCTCCATTCTTTTTCTCCCGTATTTTATTTAGTTTAATAAAATGAGATTTTCAGTTTTGATTAATGAGCAAACTGATTTTCTCCCCATGTTAATTTAATTCTTGCATATTATTTTTAGCTAATAAAATTCTTGTCATACTTCTCCACCTCGTCGTCACCTAAAAATTCAATGTTCGCAATTGAAAAGTTCAAGCTAGACTTTCGACAAGGTTGTAGAAGGACAGCAGAAGGGTTAACTATTCATGTTTATGGTCACATTGTATTCAGTAACAAAACTTAGGCGGTTCGTAGCAGCTATGTACCGAGAGCCTTGTCGACCTACTTAGTTGTGAGCTGAATTTAACCTTAATTAAAGAGAAGTATCAGATTGGTAAAGCCATCTGCAAAACGGTTGAAGAATAATTTATTGGACATAGGTGTTTGTCTATTGGGTCACAGAAATGTCCGAGACAACGGTTTTTCTAGCAAATAATGTTCTTCGCCGGGTGTCGCTGAAGCGTCGTTGTAAATCCCCTAAGATCAAGTACCAACCAAGTCAAGAGTTGGGCTTAAGCAAAAAAGTGTGATCACGCTCGTTTTCTTCGAACCATCCCGCAATTATATATTTTTTTTTCGTTATCACATAATCGTCATCCCGCTCATTTTATCAATGGAGATATAGCTATTGAGGAACGCACAAGTCACACACAAACTTCCTGTTTCATCTTCTCCGACATACACATATCCATGGAGATCTAGCTATTTAGTTATATTTAATTTATGAAATTTATCTTTTTAGCCACTTCGATTGAATTAACTTATTGCACTTTTTTCAATTAAATATAGCATATTCGCATATTCTCTGAATTCGATTCGGACACTCACCGGTTAAAGAGATAGCTATTTTTGATGAAATTTTTGAAGTTACTACGCAAAAAAAATTTTGACACTTTTTCCATTTCATTTTATACTTGCATCCTTTTTTATTTTTTATTTTTTGTATTTTAAAGATATTTTTAAATCTTTCAAAACCCATCAATCGTATTGTATAGTAAAAAAATAAATATAAAGTAAATAGAGCCTAATCCCGTCTTCAACTCAGTCCTCTCTTTTTGTGGGATTTATAATGCATTTTTCTATTTTTACCGAATTTTTCAGGATCAACTATTATTTTCTACATATTCTATTTTATATATTATTTTTTTAAAATTAAAAAAATAACATTAAATATTTAATATAAATAATAATTATAAAATTAAAATATAAATATACTAAATAAATTATTTTATAAATAATATAAAAATATCGACAAAAATAATAAACAAAGTAACAAAATATAATTTGTATACATTTTTAAATTAATAAATAATTAAAAATTAAATTAATAATAATAATAATAATAATAAAAGAAACACACCATCTCATTTGAGAGGCTCCATTGGGTTTAGCTAAATTTTGTTGACATCTGCAAAATTGCAATGTAGGTTGGACTTCTGCTATTTTTGCAGGTGGGTTAAAATGGAGGAAGAGTGTGCTCGATTTTTATTTGAAAATCAGTTTCTCAATTAATATAGTGTTTAATAAATATATATTATTTTTTAATATAATATAATATTAGTATACTATTTAATCAAAACTTAAAAAATAATTCAAACCAAAATAAAAAATAAAAGGACCTCTTAAAACACATCCAAAAGTATACATTTTTAAACCTACAACTTCAAAGCAACGCAAAGAAATTGAAGGGGTAAAACAAAACAAGTACTCGTTACTTCAAAATTGATACCTCTGGTGTTATAAAATTTTGATCAATGATTATTTTTTAGATCAATATTGTATCCATATAATAAACACACACAAACCCAAAATAAGTGGCCCGTAGGACCTGGTCTGGTCTGTTGATGCGCTGGCCCACTTTCCGACCCGACCTGCCTGACCCTATCTTGGTTGCTGACCCATGTTCCTTGGTTGATTGAAGTCTGTTGGATTTAGGGATTAAATCTCAACCATCCATTACACTTGCCCTAATATATATGTCTACGGGAGGAGAGGGACGTCGTATTCACTTCGATTCAGTCTCTGTTCCGTCACCGGCGAACCTCCGACGAGCCGTTTTCTCTTGTTTCTGTGGGGATTCGAAGACGCTCTTTCCCTCTTGTATCGAAACGAACTCCACGTGGTTTGTTTTCGGTTTGTGTGGTTCCTCTCCTTTTAGGCCACTGTTTTACCGATGTTTTGCCTATCTTGCATGTGGGATTATTTTCAATTGTGTTGCGGATAGTAGGCCCAGTTTCGTGAGTAGTCGCGGTCTTGGGTTTGTTTGTGCCGATTTTGAGTTCTTGAGGTGATTTGAGGGCTGAGCCTACCTCCAAATCTAGTTCAAACTTTATGTTTCGTTGATTTTTCCTTAATAAAATCAAATTCATTCCGCGTTTATTTCATAACATCTAGTCTTCCAAAATAAACAAAAAAGTTTATATACGAAAGTCTTAACAAAAGTAGCAAGTCGAACTGTTGAGAAGAAGCTAATACAAATCTAACCATAAGCTAAATGCTAATTGTTTTTTGCAATCTATTTTCCTTAAAAATATTCTAACTATAGACTTATTGACATGTAGTGACGAAATCAGTCTCCAAACTTTGGAGATGAAAATTGTCTAATTAGCTGATTGTTTATGATTTGACTATTTCACACTTAGAAAAATAAAAATAAAAATTCTTTTGGGACTTGAGAGGGCAACTTATTAGACTAGATAAAACAAAATGATATTTATACTTATCAAAAAAAAATTGGGAGGCTTTGGGGCCAACTTACGAAGCCCTTAATAGATCCGTCACTGTCCACATGTCATGTTCAGGGGCACACACAAAGGCATACTACCGAAATTTAGTAAAGAAAAAATGTCTAAGGCATATGTTGCGAGTGGTGAGTTGGAGAAACTTCATCGGCATCCTCCCACGGAGATTTCCCGGTCTCCGTGAGATCCCTAAGATGCTGAGCTACTTCGTTCAACAGCTTTGTCCCGTCCCCGCCTTTTTGCAAAGTCATCGCCGCATGCTTTAAGAATCCACTCTCTGCCTCAATCGCCCCCAACCGCTCTTTAATCAAAGACATACCTCTTGTTAGGGTCGCTTTGTTATTTTCCTCTGCCCAACCCAAAAAGACATACAAATATTAAGGTTTTGTTCATATATATATTATTTAAAATTTCCATAGTATTCATCAATAATAAATTTTTTTAAGAAAAAAAAAACATCACATAAAATATCAAACCTTCTACTATTTTTCAGATTTTTAGAACTCCAAAACTTAAAACAAAAAGAAAACAAAAAACAAAAAACAAAAAACAAAAAAAGCAAAAGAAAGAAACAAGAAGAACATTTATTTAAACGAAGGATAATTTATCCTGTCATAAACATTTTTTAAGAAAAACATCATGGAAAGAAATGTATTTTTCAAATAAATACTAATCTATCTCAAAAATTCAAAAATTCAATGAGAAACATTGTGTGTGACTTCTCATAGGTAGAGCTGTTACAAAGAGTCGAGGTAAATTAAAACTCAATTCATTAATGCTTGAGCTTTAAAATTAGTAAATATTTATCGAGCCAAGTAGGTTCATTAATTAATTAATTTTTTTATTTTTTTTATCATAATTTAATATAAAATATTAAAAACTCAAGCTCAAGCTCGTTTAAAGATTTAAACGAACACGAGCCTAAAAAGAAGAAATTCGACTCAGTTCGAATAACAACTCTACCTGTAGATTCATCTTCATTTTTGGAGGAAATCACGATCCCTTCATCAGCCAACATTTTCTTCTCCAAATCTGTTAGAAGTCCCAAAAGATACGATCTATCGCCTTCGAAATCGAGCGACGACACTTCCCGAGCTGGTTCATGCTCGGCGCTCTCATCGCCATGTTCGGAAACCTGGTCAGAGCTCAAGCCTTCAGATATCGGCGGAGACTTGATGACGCGACAATTTTCGTCGTCGACATCCACCTCGGATTTCTCGATCTGTCCATACTTCTCTCGGTACATTTCAAGCTCCGACTCCAACCCCTTTATGTCTTCCTCGCGCTTTAGCACCATGTCCCGTAGCATCTGCAGCGCCTCCTCGTCGTACTCCGCCTGCTCCTCCATCATTCTCTGATACTGCAATGCCTCCATTTGGACGGCCGCCTTCTCGGCCTGCAGCCGTGAGATCATCGCCATAGCGTTGTTCGCTGCGACATCCGCGGCGCTCCTTTCCTCGTCCAACTCCTTTTGTAATTCCATGAGTGTCTTTTGATCCAATTGAAGTTGTCGCTTTAGACGGCTGATGAGGTCGCCGCTCTCTTCTTCGTTGGGCTCCGCAATGGGAGGCTTCGTCGCGATCCGAGACGCCCATCGAGGGCTCATTTGCGCCGCAATGTCGAAGAACCGGTTCGACTTTGTGAATGTTGGCGTTCGGATTGCGTCGTCTGATTCTAGTTGAAATGCAGGAACCGTCGCTTTCACTTCCCGATGTAGAAAATCGATCGAACGACACGAAAAAAAATGGATGTAAGTTCCGGAATGTGACGATAAACGACGTAAAATTATCTGTCGAACTGTGTTATTCACATTTTTTTATAATATTCACATTTCCTTATAACATGGAAACTTGCAGCTACTACTATTCATATTTTTTTTATAATATGAAAATTTGCTGCCATTGTTGTTTGAATGTAATCATAAAATATGCAGCAACTGCTATTCACATTTTTTTATAACATGAAAACCTGCAGCCACTGTTGTTTGAGTGTGATCATAAAGTATGTAAATACTCTCACCTTGACTTTCTATTTTAGCGATATCATCTTCGAGATATTCCAATCGGGCGTCGGACGAAGCCCGAACCTCTCGACACTTGACACGTGGCAACTCGACCTCATTCTTGTTCCCCAATCGCGATGGTGCTCGAGGAGACGACGTGGGCCCGCCTATCGACAAACTCCGTGCTTGTCGTTTCTTTGCGACCTTCTTCGGCCTCAACGCCTCCCCGCAACACGAGCACCATCTCGGAGTGTAACTTTTGAAATACGGTACCTCGGCGTCGTAATTCTTGTCTTCCTCCGCAACATCCCCGTGCAACGTCCCGACGAGGGACTTGTACTTATCGGAGTGCGAATCCCGGCCGCTCGCAAAGGAAAGGAGGCAACCTTGGCACATGCTCCGGATGTCCGACAACTTTTTGTGCACGTGGCAATAGACGAGGGACGAGATGTCCTTCTTGTGGTCCTCGCACATCGACTCATTGTAATAGAATCCCGAGTGTCGCGGGACGAGGACGTGGTCGATCCTAGTACATAGGAGGCACGGGACACGTAGGTCGAACAATTTGGAGATTTCGTTCGGGATAAAGGCGAGGAGCCCGTCGACGAAGAGTAGGATGATCATCACCCATTCTAGGACGGCGTAGATCACAAGAAGCGGGAGCTCCCCGAGCTTTTGCTCGAGGAAGGCCTTGAACGGCGACGATGATGGCGGCGGCGGCGGCGGCGCCGACATGTCGGGGAGGAGAGGGTTGGGGAATAGGAATTGTGTGTGTGGTAGGGTATGTGGAGATCATGGCCATTGGAGAGGAAGATCATGTCCGGTTGTGTAAAATTTGTGAAGATGGTAATTGTGTTTTGTGTGTCAAAGGTTGTCCGGACTTCACATTTACCTGAATTAACGGTCGAATGTTTGGCAGCCCATGCGAGGATCGGAGAGAAACAAGGAAACCCCGACGTTTTGAAGGCATTTTGGGTTTCTTTGCCCAATAAATTTTTTATTGATAAGATTTCTCAAATATATATAATACTTCTATATTTTTTAATTTTTTTTAATAAAAATCAACATTTAATAATAATAATAATAATAATAATGTATTACTCATCCATCCTAATTCAATGGATCATTTTAAAATTTCATCTATTTCTTATTTTAAAAAAATTAATTATACGCTAATTAATTTTAATCAAAATTATAAAATATATCATTATATATATAATTTCTTTATACATAATCAAAGGATAAAAATGTCAAAAAAATTTTAAATATTTTTACTCACTAATAAAATACTATTATTTTTTAATCTAATATCCGAACCAAAATGTTACTTTGATAAATGACTTGGGGAGTATTTTTTATTTGATGGACATGATTTGTTTTATCTAAAAAAAGAAAATACTAAATAAATTTATATAATTACTAAAAATTTCATTTTCTGTCCACTTTTGTTGAATTTTATGGTCAACTATGTTCTCTTAAATGCATCATCAGCAAAATTATTTTGTTTGTAATTTTCATCTTCATTTTTTTTACTACTGTTCTGTATTAATATTACAGTAAATTATTTTTTTCTTCCATAGAATATAATATTCGATACTACTTTTTGTTTAACTACTAAACACCAAATTTACTTAAACTTTCAACACTACCTCTACTACTTAAAATTGGTAGTTATATTTATTTAGAATGGTACATTATATAACACTCCCCTATATTTTTAATAAAAATTGTATAAAACATCATTTATTTTATTTATTGTGTGTTTATAAAGTTTGTACAAAAAAATTTATTTGTCCAAAATTGATATTTGATTTTAAATAAAAACCTAAATTACGTAATAAAAAATGAATGGTTAATCAATTATTTATTTATTTATTTTATTAAAAAGAATTATTTAAAATATTTTGCATTTTTTATTTTTTATTTGTATAGAACTTGTTAAATTTAAATTTTTATTTAGAACCATATTAATTTTGGACAAATAAGATATTTCGTGCAAATTTTACGTTAACATAAGAGAGTTTTACGTAATAAATAAAATATAAGGTATTTGGTATATTTTTACTAAAACAGTGTACTATAATTTACCGTATTTAGAATTTAGTTCAACTTTTGTACTATTATACCTCATTAATTTCTATAAAATTAAACTATTTTAGGATCGAATACAAATTTTGTTCATCTAAATAATTCTTTTACTGGTACAATTTTTAGAGATATATAATATAAATTATTTTCTTTAGTAAAAATTAATATTTAAAATTAAAAATATTATTATTTTTTATATTATAATTCTTCATGTCTAAAATATTAACGCTGCATTATTTTTTTTCTTTTTCTTTTTTTTATTCTTTTTTTTACCACACTACTATATTGTCAAAGGATATCAAAGATAATAAAATGACATGGAATCGGTGAAAGTAAACTGACGAATAAAATTCAAAGCAAAACATTTTTTTTTTTGTTCAAATAAGAAAAGGCACTTCAATTTCATGATTTGAAATATAATGAATTTGACTCTAAAAATAAAAAAAAAAAAACATTAAGACAACTTTGCCCTCGGAGTTTTGACTAGTTCAAATTGGAGTTCCTAGGATAAGACCTGTTGTTGGGCCTCCTGCAACTTTTGATGCGGGCCGCGGTCCATATTTAATGGGCCACACTTGGTGGGCCATCTCCTCTATAGTAGAGCGGTTAACGATCCGAGCCGAGTCGAGCCAAATTTTAAGTTTTTGTTAACATTCGCGAACAAGGCTCGTATTCGTTCGTTAAACTTCCGAGCTCGTTCTTAGTTTTCGAGCTCGGCTCGTTAAGAATTTTTGTTGTTTGAGCTCGTGTTCGGCTCGTTTAGGCTCGTTCGAGTTCGAGTTTGTTCGAGCTTGTTTGCCTTATTTTTTTAAATTTATATATAAATTATAAGGAAACTTTAAAATTATTTTATTTATATATTTTAAATTAATATTTTATTTATTTATAAATTATAATTTTATATGTATACATAATATTTATAATAAATATATTATTTAAACGAACATTCGCGAACGTTTGCGAACAAAGCTCAGATTCGTTCGTTAATCAAACGAATATGTTTATTTTCTTCGGTTCGACTCGTTAACGTTTGCGAACGAGCTTTAACCGAGCCGAACGGAGCCGAGTCCACGAACGGCTCGATTCATTTAGCAGCTTTACTCTATACCTATTAAGGCAGAAACATTTGCATTTATTTTATAGAATGAATTATAATACATTATTATTCTAATAGATTACGTAATTATATGATAATTCAATATTTACTTTAGTTGATTATTATATAAAATTATTAATTCTGCCTAAAATACTTTTAATTATATGGTAAAATTAATAGTAAGTTAGATATTAATAAAATATAAAATAATCTTTTAAAATTAATAATACTTTAGCATTATTTAATATCACCTATAAGAAGAATATTTATAATATTGTATAGACTTTATTTATCTCCATTTTAATAATACATAGGAAATACATTATTAGATTAAATTAAAAAATATTATCTATCATAATTATCCAAAGTAATCCCACACTAAAATGATAAGAAAACTTTGTGGGTGTGTTTTTTCTATGAGTTTGGATTTTGAATTGAGATTTGAATAGTAAAAATTTTGAATTTGAATAGTCGTATGATGTGATATAAATAGGTGTTGATGTAATATTTTGAATGTAAAATTGATTTTTAGTATAATATAAAAAATAAAAAATAGGTGTTTGATTTGATGTTTTTTGAGGAAAAAATTGGATGAATAGTGTAAATATAATGCAATCCCCCAAACAAACACACGTTAAGATTGAACTTTGTTGTTTGTTTGTTAATACTCCCTCCATTCCAATTCTAAGTATTATTTTTTTCATTTTTGTGTATCTTACTTCAAAGTAATCATTAATATTTATTATTATTATTAAAAAAAAACATTAATTTTGAGTTTACCTGTATATTTTTAGTCAATTATGCACTTTTTTCTCCCCATTTTATTTTTCTTGCAGCAAAATTTTGTGGATTTGATTTAAAAATTTCTGTTTAGATATAAGTTTAAAAATTTTGGAGTTTAAAAATAATAAAATTTAATATTTTATTCGATATTTTGAAGGGAAATTTGATATTTAGTATGATATTTTCAAAAACTATTATTCTATATGAAGAGAGCAAAAAGTCTAAAGTGTATACGTAAATGAAGTCATGAGTTTTTTAAGCTTCTTTTTTTTATTTTGTTTTTAATGAAAATTGTAGAAAATAGAGTATCTTCTATGATATTTTTTGTAGAAAGAAAAGGATAAATAAATATTTGATGTAACTTTTATTTACAAAAAAGATAATATCGAAGAATAATATTAAAATTTTCAAAAACTATGTAGATAAACAGTCTTATGTTGTGTGTTTATATGAATTTGTTGTTTGTAGTCTTATTGGTAATTAATACTCCCTCCATTCCATAACAAAGTATCCATTTTTTCATTTTAGTCTGTCTCATAACAAAATATCCATTTCCTGTACTTTCTATTTAACATTACAAATACTCTTACAACTTACAATATATTACACAAATGTCATTACCTTTATATCACATATACTAATAAGGTTATTTTAGTCATTTCTATTTTATTCATACTATATCTCAATATAATATCAATATTTTTAAAATTACGTGCAAAAAGTAAATAAATACTTAATTTCGAGACGGAGGGAGTATATTGTATAATAAATATAAATTATATGAATATAAAAAAAAATGATTGGAGAATAAAAACAAAAAGGAAAAAGAATCTTTATTAATTATTAATATTATAAAATAATCTTTTTATTTTTAATTAAAGGCATAAGTGCCCTTTTAATATTTTATTTTACATTATAGTTATTTAATTCTTGCTTCCTTAGTGAGTGTAGAATTGCCTAACAATAATGAACATTTCTAAAAATACTTGTATTATTCTTGAATGCATCATATTACATTTCCCAAGCATAACATAAACATTAATTACCTTTGAATTTTAATATTCTGATCGTCAGTCCAAGTGCAATCAAGGTGCCCGCTGAACCAAACAATGTTTAATTAAGCAAATTAAACGCCTATTTTTTATTTATTATATTATATTTTTTTCGTTTTATTAAAATGTGTCTTTTTTTTGTCGGTCTCAAAATAAGATTATCATTTTTTAATTTAGTAATTATACTACTTAGCTAACATAATAAATACCCTTTCAATTTACACTATATTACACAAATATCATTATTTTTATATTACACAATATTAATAAGGATATTTTTGTCTTTTTTACTACAACTCATTATTAAAAAATTTACGTGGAAAGAGTAAACGACAACCTTGCACCGTGACGGAAGGAATATTAAAATTTAATTAGGATTCAAAACATCACTTCTATATATATTAACATCAAATCAAACAATTGTTTCAATTTAAAATTTTACAACTCAAAATCAAAACACAAAACTAAAATCATACAAATAAACACATGAAATAATAAATATGTTTGTTTAGTATTTTCAGTCAAGGTTTATATATATATATATATATTTTTTCGAGATATGAGAATTGAGAGTAGTCTTACTCATATAAAAAATAATACTTCATCCATCCTCGGTCAAGATTGATAGGTTTTTAAGTGTATTGGGATATTAATAAAAGAAAATTGTTTGATTTATTAGACTGGAGGGAAATGTCTTTTATAGGCTGTAAAACAAA